GCCTCCTGGATGCTTTCAAGTCTGCTGGGCCAAATGACCTGCACTCGAGAGTCCTGAAAGAACTGGCTGAGCTTAAAGCAGCACCACTGACCAAGCTGTCTGAAGAATCACGGAACTCATGAGTGGTCCTGGATGATTGGAAGAAAGCCAATGTGGTGCCCATCTTTAAGAAAGGGAAGAGGGATGACCTGGCAAACTACAGACAGGTCAGCCTGACTTCGGTCCTGGGGAAAATCTTTGAAAAATGCATTAAGGAGGCCATCAGTCACAAGATGGCAACTGAAGGGGTGTTACAAAGCAACCAGCACGGCTTTGTCGAGGGAAGATCATGCCTGACTAACCTAGTGTCCTTCTACGACAGGGGTGGGCAAAATGCGGCCCACCAGGCCATTCTATCTGGCCCGCAGGGCCCCTAAAAAAATCTAGAAAATTAGTATATATCTGCTCCTGGTTGCCTGTCACTCGGCCCTCGATGGCTTGCCAAAACTCAGTAAGCGGCCCCCCACCCAAAATAATTGTCCATCTCTGTTCTACAACCAGGTAACTAGCCATCTGAATGAGGGACATGAGGTTGACATCATTTACTTCAATTTCAGTAAAGCCTTTGACACTGTTTTCCACAAGATTCTCTCAATTAAACTGGAGGGTACTGGGCTGGACCTGTCTACAGTGAGGTGGGTGGAAAACAGGCTTAGAGGCCACTCCCAGAGAGCTGTAATAGATGGGATGGTCTCATCCTGGAGGCCCATCTCCAGTGGTATTCCCCAAAGATCGGTGCTTGGAGCCATGCTCTTTAATATATTTATGAATGGCTTGGATAAGGGGATAGAAAAAGCTCAATGATTAAGTTTGCAGATCTCACCTAATCTAACCCCTGCTACTGAAGGAGCCTTGGCCACTGATAACACCCTGGTCTCTCCCCTTTTTTTCCTCTGGTCCACACCGTTTTTGAAGGAATGAAATGTTTTGTGTAAAGTCTTAGGCTTGTTATAGGGAATTTGGGTGTTGCTTTAATGACCTGCTGTATACAGCTGGTTAGGCCAAATGACACTCAGATCTCTTAATTTCTGTGAAGCTGCTGAAATTGGGCAGTTATATTAATAGGTATATTTCTCTTCTGACATTTGAAGAATGGTATCGAATACAGCAGGTATTGTTAAAGAAAACAACTCCTTTAAGATCATTATGCATCAGTTGGAAACTCATATGATCATCATCCTGGGGAAGCAAACCAGCAAGTAAGGCACTAGAATTGGTAAATGGTGAGAATGTGATGTCCAAGGGTGGGGCAGAAGTCAGAACAGACAACTCCCACAAACAGAAAGGACAGCAGACAGCCCAGTGGCATATACTTTAAAGATGGAAAGGAAGGGACAAGATGAAAGTGGTAGGATTAGAATAGAAGGCCACATAGCTGTCCTAGGCCTTGTCTCTAGGACAGGATGTGAGAGTCGAGGAGAAGTCACTGTGAAAGACAAAACATTCCAGAGGCAATGTGAGAATGGTAGTGGGAAGAGTGAGATTCAGAGAAACAGAGGATGGAAACATCACGTCACAAAAGGTTTATCTGTGAAGGACTGGGGAATGAAGATTAGACTAGCTAATAAAGAACTGATGACAGTGTAACAAAAAGTAAGGCCAGCCATGCTTGTTACATTAAAAAGACCTAAGGTACAGAAAATAGCTCACTCGACTATGCTCAGTACTATCTTTTTCTTTTGTATTGCAATCATGGAAATTATGCTTTGATTCAAATGCATCATGACAGTACATTTTAATTCACATGAGACAGGTTGGTCTCCTGAGATGAGAAGGCATGGGCATGGGATGCCATTATATTACTTGAAATTTGTTTGTTACATCCTTTTAAAAAGAGCTATAAAATGATGAGGGGAATGAGTGCACTTAGCATTTGGTCCCTATTTTCTAGCCTTAAGGCTGCTTGAACTAATGATGTTTAGCAAGATTTTATGAAATGAGAAACATGTTTTAAAGCATTCATCAGAGGTTAGCTACATTAATTATTATACACCATACCACCTTTCAAATCAAAGTATTTTAAAAATAAAGATAAAAATCCTGTTTCCATGGTTACCACAGAACATCCCCAGGTTCTGTTCTTTCCTCCATACCTATCTACATTTCTTTAAAAAATATGCTTAAGATCATTTGAAATGTTTTATAATCACTCAGACACTTGTATTAATTTAAGTTATTGTAATGTAAATATAACAATACATATTTGATAGAAAGAGCAGATAAAACAGTCCATACAAAATCATCAATTGATATGAATGAAGTACCCTGAGTACAGAAAGTGAAAGGGAAATAATAATACAGATTTAGCCTCTATTTCCAAAAATAAGGGGGGTGTGGAAAGGAGACATTCCCTCTCCAGAAAAGACCCTATGTGTGGGTCCACATGAAATATCTTATCTAGCCATCACTGGTAAACCCTACACTAGCACTTCTCCCTTTTCCTTCTTTTCACTCCCCTCATGGAAAATTGAAAATGGAGATTTGAATGGAATTTAAAAGGCACAGGGAACTTTTTTTAAAGGACTTTCTGACCAATCCTATAAAACTATTTTGGTTTGTTAAATTTCATAGAGTTTTTAGAGCACAGTAATAAAACAATAAGAGTTTGTGCATTTTTTTTCTTTTGACATCCTTTGTGATTCAGTTGCGAGAAGCAGCATTTAACAGTAAATGAAAAAAATCCTCTGAATTTTTGCCTACTTATGGCTATCAAAAACATACTCTATTGTTCAATCCTTTTTAAATCAGTTAAATGAGAAGACAAGTGGATGTGTCAAAAGGATTAGAAATAGGACCTCCTGCACAGTTTGGGCATCTGCTCAAATATGCCCTAAGCTGACCATTATGTGTACATTGTTTAAAGGCAGATGAGAAATGAGCTGATGGGTCTAGTTGAGCTTCTACTCAACAAATATTCACAACGAAGAACTACAATTAGTGCTTTTGTTAGCTGCCTCATTTTGAACAGGGATGAAATCACTGAAGTACCTCTTGAGCACTAGATTGGGGTCTTTCTAGGTTGGGGGTAAGGCAAAGTGGGAGGCAAGCCTTCTCTTCTACTGCTGATGTGGCCAAACTTCTGCTCTAGAGGCCTTAAGCTTTCAACACTGCTTTGTGACAAAACTTTCAATTTCACTTATGAAAAGGATAAGAATAAGAAAGCAAAATGCTTTTGATAATAGGTTTTGGGTGGTCATAATCATTTTAACACATCTTTTTACACACTCCTCCCTAGTTATTATATACCCAAGAGCAAACCACACTTTGTAAGCTGTAAAAGAACTACTTTCAAAATGAAAATACTTTAAAAACGTAATTGAGGGCTCAAATAGTTTCATTTTAGAGAAACTAAAAGAAGGAATGCACTGTACAACTGGTATATTTTATGGTTTTAATATTCTCAGTCCATTAGGAATGCTGCCAAATGTACTTTAAAATGTTAAAATCAAATGAAGGGACATGATATACTTCCTTTTGAAAAAAATACTAAAATGGCATTCAGTGAGGCAAAAATTAAGATACAGCACAGAACAGCATTTCTCTTTCTTTGCCCTTCATCCACTCTAACACTTACAACATGAGCTGTTCATTTAACCAGTCCCTCTTTGGGAGCATTGCAAACTATCCTTCTACAACCATCTCTTAAACTTCTCCGGTTTCTATTTGCCTGCAATAAACTTAATTAGAGAAAAACATCCATCTTGCTGCTACTTACTTTCTTTTCCTTTCTCTTTATTTTTGAGCTGCTGTAGTTTCTGTTCTCTATGCTGCTTCTCTAGCTCCTGCTCCTGTCGGTGTTGTTCCAACTTCCTCTGGTGCTCCAAGAGTTCTTGCTGATGTTTCATTGCTAGCATCTCCTGCTGTTGCTACAGAAAAGGGAAAAGAAAATGAAGCAAATGAACACACACTGACTACCAAACACTTTAATTTCACAATTCACTAAACAGTGGTTGTTATAAAATTGATAACGGTGCTTAATTCATAAATAAACAATCAAGCAAACAAAACCCCCCAAAATGACATATTTTCCCTTCTGCAAAAGGTTCCTGTATTAGGATGGACAGGTCACGCTCTTCAACCTTATTCCCAGGTGAAAACAATATGCATGCTGAGATGCAGCTAGTAGGCCTGTGAGAATACGGAAGTAATCTATTTGGATTTGGAGGACAGTGACTCGATTCAGATCACTGTCCCAAATCGATTCCACCAAATCGGCTTCAGAAGATTTGGCGCCGATTTGGAGAGATTCGGCCATATACTATAATGGGGAATCACTGAAATACTTATAACTTTGTCATTTTTTGGCAAATTAACAGCAAGGATGGTAGCCTCTTCTGAGGGCACGAAGCCTGCCAAGTTTCAAGGAGATAGGTGCAGGGGTTTCTGGGAAACTGTACCTCATACTGCTGAAAACAAAAACTCATGTCACTTGTGTATGTTAAGGCAGATTTGGATGAAAACAGCAGGGATGGTAGCCTGTAACAGGGGGCCTTCCCGGTGCCAGTCAGATCTCTGCCTGCCCACCTGTTTCTGGGCCAGCTGCCCACCCCTCTTCTGCTCAAGCAGAAATAGTTTACAAAAGGGACAGAAAGGCTGAAGACAGAGGCTTATGTGCTGTTTCTATGTCCCTCCCCCAGAACACTGATTGGAAGGGGACTCAGGGAAAGATCACAGTCACTGGCCAGCTATAGATGTCAGTCTTCCCCCCCACTTCCTCTTCTCAGTTTCTGTTCCCCTGAAAGACTGCCTTCCAAATCTCCAAAACATTTTCTGAATCTTTTCTGAATTGATTTGGAAGGTTTTTTTGGTCTCCCGATTCCATTTGGATTTGGTGATTCGGCCTCCAAATCAAGCCGAATCTTCTCCGAATCGAATCAGCAACCGAAGTTTCACACACCCCTAGCAGCTAGCCGCTGGCCCATATGGTTCAGGAAGCCTCTGGCCTATCCTTCATGCCCTGAGCTGAGACTAGTTACAAAGTCCTGCTACTTATGAGCATCTAAACATATTGCCTAAATGTCATTCGCCTTCCCTAACTCGGTGATAAGCCCTCAAAACCTTTCAGTTGCAAACTACATAGTCATTGTCCCCACATCTACAGAGGTGTGGACAATGACTGAACCCAGGAAAATATTGTACCAGAGTCGGTCTCATTGTCGTCAAGAGCTCCTGATGGTGTGGGGAGCATCTTCTGCAGCTAAAAAGGGGCGAAAAGAGCTCCAAGGCAAATAGGTTCCCAAACCAATTAATCACAGGCACTGCAGGCAGGTTATTACTTATACCACACCAAATTGTCATAATTATTTTAACATTATTCCTTCATGGAATTATGTCTTAAGGATACATGAACAAAATTTAACTGAGGCCCTGGATACATAAGGGGAATTCAAACATTAAATCCAGGACTGCACTGATTTGATGCATCAGGACTAAATGAAGCTTAGGCCAGTGCAATCTACCCTTTAATGTACAGCAAACTTCCTTGGTGAAAGTCCAGTTTTGTGCTGGAACTGTAAGCGTTTTCACACGTGCTGTGGGACGTGGCACTGGGCACTTTAATTAACGAGCTGTGCTAATTATAAGTGCTTGTATGTCCCGTGCATCATGGCACTACATTACACACTTGCACTCTGTACCCAATATCAATACAGTTACACTGACAGAAAGTTCTCTTTAGTCTGGACCTCACCTCACTGTTTTCTTGCTATTGTGCATTTTTAACTAAGGCACAAACATCTGTAAGCATTCTTAAAAAAAGTATTTTAATGGATCATTACACACAAAAAAGCCTATGTTAAAGAAATGTCATTGGAGTTACAACACCAGGCACTCGAAAGTTAGGTAATGCCAGAATTAAGGTGGTCTCTGCCAAATGAATTCAGTTCCTATATGCGCGCTTTATGAAAATCTTTAGTTATGCAACCACATACCATTTTCCCACATTGTCTTAGTGCAGAGCAGGAGTGCTCAGGGAATGAGGCAACTATTCAATTTTTATTTTATTTTCCTCTTAACTCATGCCCTTATTTACTGCAAAACATCCACAACCAAAATTAACTGCAGGATGTTTTATTTCCTCTCTAGCTTTTCTGTGGTATTCATCACTACTATGTACACCTAACAAAACATGAATATGACTTTAGAACAGCCTTCTGAAGTAAGTTATTCCCCCACCCCATTGCTCCTTGCACCTTTACAAAAATGGATGTTCCTAGTATGGGGAAAGCCTGGGGAGCAGTGACTGCTCCAATCCTCCTGTTCCAGGGGGAAGAGGGACCTAAGCCCCCTGCCCATCCCTCAGACCAGAGAGGGTTGCTCCTCTGCTTGGCTCCGGATAGCTGGATCCCGTATCAAGCAGCCAACAGGAGTGCAATCTGTCTGGCCAGTGTCCTGCTGGGTCAGGCCAAGTTAGCAGCTCTGAAAAGCTGTAGAAACTAGCTTCCAGGAGCTTGCTCTGATGCCACCCTCAAACTCTTCCACTTCCTGGTCTAGAAGCAAGCCAGATTTGAATCGGGACACTTTACCTTGCAACAAAGTGTGGACCAACGTGTCATGCTGAACCATCAGAGGGACACTCTACAAGGTGGAAGACAGACAACTGGTCCTATATGTATAACTCCAGAAGAGGCATTGGGGAGGGGGTTTCAAATCTCATGACATGGTGTTTCTTGTTGCTGACAAGCATCTCATGCTTGGCTTTTGGGGGTTGGGGGCACACATCTGCACTTTCACTATTTGTTTTTAATTTTTGTATAATAAAGGTTTAAAAAGTCAAAAGTCTCATGCACATGCACTTTGCCAGATAGTCCCCTAGTATCTGAGTTACAGCCAATCCAAGGGAAACCTCTCAGACTGCACAATTTAGACCTGCTCAGGCTTTGCCAAGTGGCTCAATGTTTTGGGTAGTAGCCTTCTATTCTTTCCAGAATTACTGCAAGAAGATTTAACTGTTTTTTCCCCAGTTAGGTTAATAGAAGGGGACTTAGCACACCCATTAGCTTTGACTAAGCCTGTGCTTCTCTACAGACTGAAAACCTACTCAATGGCAGCCACTAATAAACATCACCCATAACACTACTACAACCTCACTTTACAGATGGGGAAACTGAAATAATGGCAGATTTATCTATCCATGGCCACAGAGCTAGTAGCATAAACAGGGTTAGCAACAAAATTCTTCCGAGGCCTGGCCCTTCATTTGGCTGTGCTTACAGGGCTGAGCATCTATAGAGTCCAGTGCAAATGCTTGACATTTCTGAAAGTAAGGTTCCACCACTGCCTAAAAATTAGGCACCTACAGCAGTGATTCCCAAACAGGATGCCACAATGACCCTTTGTGTTACAATCGTTTCCCCGGAAGCACACCATTCCTCTAAGCCACCATTGCTGCCCAACTGGTGATCACAGCCACGTGAACAGAGCAGCTTCAGGCACCACATTGACAAGCTGCACGTCAAGAACCCCTGTGGTCCAGGTCTGACTTGTGAGTTGGACACCCTTGCTCTAGGCCAAATGCAAATTGCTTTTCATGGGACCAGCAAAATATGATAAGGGCATTAGCCCTTTGCCAAATGTAAAGTTCCTACTGAAAATAATGCAAACAACTTTAAAATGGGGTTACTACCCCTTCTTCCTAGGGTACATCCAAATTTCATTTCTCCATTGTCTGTGAAGAATGTTACAAGTAGTTTAATCATATATTTATATGATTATGCCCCTAGATTACTCAGAATGCAGCGGCATGTTGACTCAGTGACTTGAGTTATCATGATCATGTTACTCCCTCAATACATTCTTTACATTGGCAGCTTATAAACTAGCAGATTGATTTTAAGTTGGCATTGTTGACTTTTAAAAACCTTAGTACAGTGTAGGTCCTGGCAAGAGATAAGACTTCTTCTTGGAGCCTTAACTTAAAGGATATCTGTGCTCCAATACCACCCACTCTTATAAGTTCACATCACCCACTCCTAAGCGAGAGGGGATCAGGCCAAAGCAGTCCTTGTTACTAAAGGTATCACACTTATTCTTCCCACAAAGTCTCTGTTACTGAATCGTACTCCAGTATTAGAAACTATACAACTTTTCAATTCAAAAAGCTATTTGCATAGCTTTTGAAATAATTGGACCATTTCAGCCATTTGGTTTTTGCTTTCTTCTTCCTCTTTATATACATTTGCTTTCCTTAAGTTTGACAGTGGTCTCCCATTTCTTTAAGTTGCACTAGTAACATTTAAAACAGTAGGGGGCATATTATAAAATAAAGCAATTTCAACAACTACACATGGACATGTGAAAAAAACGTCACCTGTATTCAGTCTTCTGAAATCCCTGATGCAGTAAATGTGCCTCCATTATTTTTTGCTAAAATTTAAAGCGTATTTATCACTGTGTTGTAAAACTCATGTTACATATATATTCCCTGCAAATCCAGTGGCCTTTTCGTACCACAATTTCATTCCATTTCAACAAAAGGCAATTTAGGATATAATCACCCACAGGAATAAGAACTCTGGAAGCCTAATTTTTCTGTTTTGTAATTAAGCCACAGCATCAACTAACACTTCTCCATTTGGAGAAGGAGTATCATTACAGACTTCCAACAAGTCCACCACATGGTGGCTTTTATAACATAGCCACAAAAATTATGTAAATCAATAATATTTAATGCACAATATGTTAAAACAGGTTTTGTTATTTTTCTGAAAACAGGGGCTTTTTTTTTCCCCATCTGCAGTCTCCTAAACCAAGTGTGTTATGCTTCTTGCAATGGTTTACATACATTAAAAAGCTTTAGAAGGAACTGTGCTTTCATTAACATTTGTAGTGAAATGTAAATGAACAAGAAAAAAAGTGAAAACAGATT